CATGTATTATTTCTTTGTAAATATTATTCAGGGAGGGGGTAAGACATTAAGGTTAAATCATTGGGAGGGTTGTTTTAAAGACTTTATTTGCAAGACTGAAAAGACAAATAGGCTTCATTTTAGAAAATTCTAAATTTGAATCAATTTTTTCTATTTTTATTTAAAAGTGCAAAGGCAAAAGAAATGGGTTCAAACAAGTCAAATGAAACAAACGTGGTGCTTTCTGTGGAGATGGCAGTCCTCACACACCGCTTTACGCTGGAAAGGCGTTAAGGACCATGTGGTGTGGACAGAGGGACTCACAAGTCAACTCTACGCCTGAGGCCATGGAAAGCCAAACTGCACCAAGAATAGGTCTTGCCACCAAATATCCACACTAATACCCTATTGAACTGAATTGAGGCTAATCAGAAACTTCTCTAAGATGAGCAAAGATGCCCTACAGATGACCTACCTAGGTTCCCTCTCCTGAATTTGCCAAACTCAAAATAACTAAAGTTTTTAATAGTAGAAATTTGACATATCAACAGCAACCTGTGTCTGAAAAATATGCCAAATTAGAGCCCAATAAAGAATAATTTGATGTGTCTTTAAAAAATGGTCTGTACAAATAAAAAAATTCCTGTGCAATTCTTGGAGCTCCTCAAAACATACTGTATAACATAAAACCAGGAAGTCCTGAAGTAGTCTCTGTAACATCCTCACCAAATTGCACAATTCCCACCTTCCATTCTAAATTTAAAAAGTAAAATAGAGTTCAAAAGTTTGGGCTGGGAGCGGTGGCTCACGCCTGTAATCCCAGCACTTTGGGAAGCCGAGGAGGGCAGATCACAAGGTCAAGTGATCAACACCATCCTGGCCAACATGGTGAAACCCCGTCTCTACTAAAAATATAAAAATTAGCTGGGCTTGGTGGCATGCACCTGTAGTCCCAACTACTTGGGAGGCTGAGGTGGGAGAATCACTTGAGCCCAGCAGGGGCAAGTTGCCGTGAAGGCAGATCATGCCCACTGCACTCCAGCCTGGGTAATAAGAGCAAAACTGTCTCAAAAACAGAAACAAATGTTTGAACTTTTTAATTATCCTGATGGATTGCCCAGAGATGGTCAGGGCTTTTTTTTTTTTCTTTTCTTTTTCTTGTTACATACATATGGGATTTCACCGTGTTGCCCAGGCTGGTCTCGAACTCCTGGGCTCATATGATTCTCCAGTCTCAGGCTCCCAAAGTACTGGGATTACAGGAATGAGTTATCAAGCCAGGACTGGTCAGTCTTTGAAATGTTTTCCTTGTCAGATTGTTACCCATTAAAGACAAGGTCTCAACAACCAAGTAAACACATCCATCCATCACTTCTTAGAGTTGGTGATGGCTCTGTGCTGGGCTAAACCATACACAGCAGAAGAAAAGGCTCAGCAAGGGCAGTGAGGAAAAATGCTCCCCTCCCTGAAGGAGAATGAGTCTTTCCAGAACCCAGGTGCCAGGGGAGACAGCCATTTCTCAGAAGAGTGCTGGGAGAAAGCATGTGTGCAGTATTGCTCAATGCTGTTCTTGGAGCGATCTGAATGTGCTAAATATTCAGAAAATACCTCCCGCAGAGGAAAAAAGATAACCAAACTCATACTATTTTCCTAGAAGTTCTTACTTGAATACTACTAACCAAAGAGGGGTGAAAAAGCTTAAATTTTCAAATCTGGATGAACAACATAATGACCATATTAGGATCAGGCACACAGAACACAGCAACTGAGTGTACAGTGTTGGAACTGGTGAGATCTTGGTAGAGGAGGGATTGAGGAGTCCACATAACCTAAGCTGCTTCCCACCAAGGCATGTTACCCTTATACATATTCACTAGAACAAAGACAGCTGTAATTTCTAGTGTGTCTGTGCTTTTAGGGGCTCTTGGTGACGCTGTCCCATAGACACTGCTTTGAAGATAGATATAAGGGAAAATGGAATAGAAACCAAACAAGCTGAGAAAGATGACCAGGTCAACTTCAGAGTAAAAAATCATGGACAAATACCATGTTTCTGTTTTCCAAAATTTTCTTTATAAGATTCTAGGTCCCTACCATCTAAATATGCCAAAGCCAAATAAGGGCTTCTTAAAAGTAGAGACTTTATTAGTTGTTGATGTATAAATGGGAATGCAGAACAGGCATTTCTGCTATGCACTGTGTGTCAAGTACAGCCAGGCTTCAGACACCTCCCCCACTGCAGGGTGCAACAGTCTGAGAGGAATCTATGCCCTGGCTACACATCACTGAGAACTCATGTGTGCACCCACTAGAAAAAAACACATAAATGAATGTTTACGGAACTGGAACTCTTGCTGAACATGGAAAGAAAAGGGTCACATGCCTAATGACATTTGGCTCATAATAGACTATATTAAAAAAAATTCTTCATATATATATCTTTAATATATCTTTTATATCTATATCTTTTATTTCTCTACCTACATATATATATGCACACATATATATATAGAGAGAGAAACAAATATCTATAGAGACAAGTCTCCTCTATAGCCCAGGCTAGAGTGCAATAACTCCATCATAGCTCACTGCAGCCTCAAACTTCTGTGTTTATGTGATCCTCCTGCCTCAGCCTCCCAAGTAGCTGGGACTATAGGCATGTGCCAACACACACAGCTAATTTTTTTTAAGTAGAGACCCAGGGTGATCTCAATCATCTGAGCCCAAACAATCCTCCCACCTTGGCCTTCCCAAGTTCTGGGAATACAGGTGTGAGCCACTGTGCCCAACCAAAAATGTCTTTAAACATCTGTATCTAAAAGTAAAAATAAAGGCAGACTAGATTTTTCAATCTGTACAACAACCAGGCAGGCAATTTGGAAATGTAGGTACTCATTATGGTACACAATAGTCAACTAAAACATTTTTAACACCACCAGGTTCTGGTCTGGAACTGGAAATGTAATCTAGTCAGTGATATTTTTCTCAGAGGGAAATGAGTTGCAGTTGCAGTCTTTTTTTTTTTGGAGACAGTTTCACTCTTGCTGCCCAGGCTGGAGTGCAATGATTTTGGCTCACCGCCACCTCTACCTCCCGGGTTCAAGTGATTCTCCTGGCTCAGCCTCCCGAGTAGCTGGGATTACAGGCATGTGCCACCACGCCTGGCTAATTGTGTATTCTGAGTAGAGGCGGGGTTTCTCCATGTTCAGGCTGGTCTCGAATTTCCAACCTCAGGTGATCCGCCTGCCTCGGCCTCCCAAAGTGCCGGGATTACAGGCGTGGACCACTGCACCCAGCCTGCATTTGCAGTCTTTGAGAATTATCTAATTCTAGGATATGTTACAAACAAGACTTTTCAATGACAGCACCATAAACCAATGGAGAAATGCCAGTTTCAGGCTGATTAACACCTACTTCATAAAATTGTGCTGAGGATTAAGTAGGGTATTATGTAAAGAAAAAATACAGTGCCTGGCATACAGTAAACCATCAATAAATGGTACTTCGAACTGAAAGCTGAAAGCAAAGTAGTTGATACGACAACTGGAAGACTGTTCCATATCCTAAACTGCCTTTTAAACCAATATACATTTTTCGATTCATACCACCAATCTGAGTTTGAGATAAAGAGGACAGGCACAAGTGCATATTAAGAATCAGAACCCCTTCCGCTGAAACATATTATTAAAAGAAAATCATTAATACATTTTAAAAAAATGTTTAAAATTTTCTTTCCTTTCTCTTTTCTTGTTCATTCCTTGGTAGAAATATTAAAACAATGATGAAATGGACTAAGAAGATTAAGGGCCAAAAGGCACAAAATCTGACAAATGTATAAAGTCTCCTCTAACATAAAAAATGGTTTTTATATTGCTCTAAAGTCCTCCATGTACTTATTACATGTTACTTTTTTTAACCCTTTAAGAAAGCAGAAAATGGGTATTTTTTTCATTTTTATATGGACAAATTAAACATGCAGAATTATATTTTTACATTCTATATATGTGCAAACATGGATAAAACAAATACTTGGCTAACACTGGAAAGGAATATGAAATTGTTGGTGTAGCCAGAGAACATGGCATTAAACCAAAGGTTGCTGTCAATCTATTAGCAGAAATAGATGTGAGTGGAAATGAACTAGGTATGAATTATAAACTTTCCTGAAAATAAAAAAGCCTGTTTTTTAAAAATGTTTCCTTCTTAACCTATTCAAAAAGCAACACTATCTCATTCAAGTCAAACTACGTATCTGACCCTTAAAATCTGTTAAAATCAGAAAATATTTAATATTATGAGGACCTAAGGATACAACAAGTTTTTTTTTTTCTTTTTTCTTTTTTAAGATGTAGAACCCATCTAGAATTGCTTTCTTTCTCTGGCCATTACCAGAGAAGTCAGCCATGTCTGTCTGTCTCTTGACCAGCACACCTCATTTAATAAAAGGTCGGGATGATGACCACGGGAACAACACGATGTCATGTGTTTTCACGGCATCTAGCGAAATATATTATCACTGGTAAAAACTGAACACTATTTAAAGCATCCACGGTCAACACCCTTCTCAAGGATCTGCTCGGAGAAGGAAAGATGACTAACCTTACAACTGTTCACTACACTGAATGTGGTTTTAAAAATATGTGCAACAGACACCACCCAGAAGGACAGAAAGCAAAGCGTAAGCCAATGAAGCACATTCAGCTAGCAGAGGGGTGAAGCATGTCCTCTCTGGTACTGGCTTCCTCAAGCTTAACCTGTGTATCGAAAGCAAGGCTAGCGTCAACTGGAAATGTCATAAGGCCTAGCTGTATTTGACTTGCAGAGTAACATACTGTATTTAGCAAAGACAAACCAATGCAAACTGGAAAGAGATTTTAAACCAGTAACAACCTAAAATGTAAGGGTCTTGGATGCCTCAACACAGGTTTAATGCAGACAGACATAAGAAAATGTCCCTCTTACCTCCTCTCCATTTCAAAGTTACAGGACACAGTAATACTGAATCAGGACACAGGCACATGTTATAGAAACCTTATTTAATATGTAGTACTGCCTACATCCTGCTTTCATGCTTTCAGCATAATTTAACACATTCAAGGAGACTATGCAAATCAATCCAAAGTATCTAGTTATACCAGTGGTTTTCAAATGATAACTGCCCCCTTTAAAATACTTAAGCCTTATGCAGAAATCTTACATAGCATATAAAAAGAGACAGGCAGAGATTTTGTGGTTGAAAGTAACCTTTTGATGACCCTCCTGGACATCTAATTAGCATAGTTTGAAAACCAATGAAATAATGTAAGCTCTCCATAGTATCATATGCTATCCATGCCTCCTAGCAATTAAATTTATAACAACAATTTCAAGTTTAAGACAAAAACACTGAATGGAATGTTGAAATCTGAAGAAAACTAGAACTCAAATGAGCAGTTAAATTCATTAAACAGTATGCTTTAAAAAATACTCATTAGGAAGCCGAAATGACAATGTAAGGTTTGCATATTATTATACTATTTATTGAAGTAGAAAGAACCTGAAAAATGTTTACTTCAAAACTTCAATCTAGTAAACTGAAATCATGAATCATAAAATGCTTCTTCTTACTTTTACTTCCTAAATCATGATTTACCCCAACTATAAATTCGGGTAATTACATTGAAATTTTCATGAAAAATGAACATATTAATAATGGGATTTACAGAAACCAATTTCTTTACAATGTCTTGACCAACTGTTACCTGACTATCCCAGTAAGGAGAATTTTCCTTCAAAGATATTTTTAGGAAAAGCTTTTGTTTCTTTGCTTTTCTTTTTAAAATGGGGAAAACTGTAAAACATAAAAGAAATGCAATATATAGAAGAAATTGCTCATTCCGATTTCTAACTGCCCATATCAAACTTCTCTTTAGAAAAATGGAAAATGTATCCAGTACAATTGAATCAACATACAATTTATTTTTTTATGTAACAGATTTTTCAAATTGAGCTTCTAAAAAGTACAGTTAACTACAAAAGTAAGATTAAATAGATACTTATAAAATAGATTTACCCTGAAATGGTTAAGAATATAAAGTGTTGATGCCCATGTCAACAGTACATTATACATTACACACATTAAATGTCATTTTCTTTCCATTAATAATGTAGATAAAACCATATTTATTGCTTATATCAAGTGCAGGTTAAAATCCAGATAGCCTCCAAAAACAAATCCTGTGATAAAGGATTTCTCAATGTTGGTCAGGTGAAATACTGTATTTGACATGTATGAATACAGTTGCAAAATTTACCAGTTTTTAACAAGCATGAATGTCTTTATTTTAGACAGCCATTTACAGTTTGGGTTTCGAGGAACCTGCAGTGAAGAGTCCTGAGATGTTGGGCTTGTGACTGTAAATATCACTTATCTGGCTGATGTCTATTCTACTGCACCATTTTTGGGATATGAGGCGTTTGCAAACAAACCCCTATGATTAATGTAGCACTGTCAGCTACTAGTGCAGAAGCTTGCTGGGCAAAATTGTTTATTTATAGGGTATTTTGCTGAAAAAACAGTGTCCAGCCAACAAAAGCGCCAACCAAAATGACTGACACAAACCCCATCTTAGTGAGAATAGGTTGCCAATATAACCACCTTTTTCTTTTTCGTTCATTCTCATTTAGCCTCTGTTTCATCTGCTGCACCTTCTGAGCTGTGGTGGCCTTTCTGTCCTCTCGAATACGCTTCCGTAGAGCACTATGAATAAATAAAAACAAGTAAAAGGAAGTGCACACAGAGCAGGACTTAAGTACTCTAACACAGAGGATCTAGGTGCAAATAAAACCATACGCATCCACTTAGGTTTTACCCTACTTGAACACTGGAATAATGAGGGTTAAAGTCTCAATATTCTTTTTTCTTTTATTGAGATGGCGTCTTGCTCTGTTGCCCAGGCTGGAGTGCAGTGGTGCAATCTTGGCTCACTGCAATCTCCTCTGCCTTCTGGGTTCAGGTGATTCTCCTGCCTCAGGCTCCCAAATAGCTGAGATTACAGATATGCACCATCATGCCTGGCTATTTTTTTGTATTTTTAGTAAAAACAAGGTTTTACCATGTTGACTAGACTGGTCTCAAACTCCTGATCTCATGTGATTCGCCTGCCTCAGCCTCACAAAGTGCTGGGATTACAGGCATGCATGAGCCACAGCACCTGGTCTCAGAAATTATGTTTCAATGGAAGCTTTCCAACTCCCAAGATACTTGGTCTTGGTTCTATATAAAAATAATAATGCCACTCAGCTACTCAGGAGGATCAAGTCCAGCTTGTCAGATATAGCAAGATCTTGCCTCTCGACCAACCAACCAACAAACCAACCAACCAACAAAAACCCCACAAAAAACAGCCAATGGCAACATATAGGTCACTATTTCTTCCATCCCCTCTTTTTACTTTTCTGCATTACAGCAAAAGTTTAACCAGCTTCCTTGCCCTCAAATTAAACATTACTGACATGGTAATTTTTCTAGAGCATACTCCTGGACATGTAGCTTGATTTAAAGAATTTTTTTCTTTTTGTTTACAGGGCCTAGTGCACAATGGTGCTTAAAAATCTCAAATGCCTCTTCAATGTCTCCAACACTGAGACTACCTTCTTCCTGGCCAAAATGTTTAATCTGAATTTAATTATGATAAACAATAATTAAACAAATGCATTGTATGGGGCATTCTAAAAGATAACTGGTATAGAAACTTCAAAAATACAAATGTCAAGCAAGGAAGAAAAAGGTAGGGAACAGTTCCAGATTAAAAGAGACCAAAGAATCACATCAACCAAATATGATATCGATCCTTGATTAATCTTGAAATATTTTTTTTTTGAGACAGAGTCTCGCTCTGTCACCAGGCGCCAGGCTTGAGTGCAGCACGATCTCGGCTCACTGCAACCACCACATACCAGGTTCAAGCAGTTCTCCTGCCTCAGCCTCCTGAGTAGCTGGGACTACAGGCACTCGCCACCATGCCCAGCTAATTTTTGTATTTTTTAGTAGAGACAGGGTTTTACCATGTTGGCCAGGATGGTCTCCATCTTTTGACCCCGTGATCCGCCCGCCTTGGCCTCCCAAAGTGCTAGAATTACAGGCATGAGCCAATGTGCCCAGCCTCTTGAAATATATATATATATTTTAATAGCCACATAAGTTGGGATCAGAAAAATGTTCTAAAATTAGATTGCGATACCAGCTACACAATTTGGTAAATATATTAAAATTCACTGAACTGTATACTTTGAATGAGAGTAAACTATGGTATGTAAACTTATCTCCATAAAACTATTAAAAAAGCTATATGGTGAACCTTTTAGAAAACAAGCAAAATCTGAATTGAACTATGTATCTGAATATTTTATTTAATCAATGTTATACTTTTTGGTATACTGGAACCTTCTCTACCCAAGAGATTGTTAGTGGAAATGTAAAATGGTTCAGCTGCTGTAGAAAAGTTTGACAGCTCCTCAAAAAGTTAAACATAGAGCTACCATATGACCCAGCAATTCCACTACTAGATATGTACTCAAAAGAACTGAGAACACATGTCCATGCAAGCACTTGCCAATATTCTCCTACTATGCAGAACTTTGTTCTTGCCATTTTTTGCTGTTCTCCAAATTTGTTCCCCACTAAAATAGAAACCTTCCCTTCTCTCCTGTCCTCTCATTTCAATTCTACTCTTCAATTCTCCTTGCTCCACCCATTCTAGCCCTTCTATTCGTATAGCATTTAATTTGCAGTAAGTAATGTATAATTTACTAATAATGTGCTAACTTGGGTACCTGTTTTATCTTTATAATATATTCTGCAACTTAAGGATGGACTGTGTTTTGCTATCTTTGTACATCTTATTGTGGTTTCTCATGTCTTTTTCACTTTTTGTTATTATATATAAAGGTATCCCTGGCTGTCTCAAACTCCAACTGAAAATATTTACTATGATGACTTGCAAAAATTCTTACCCAGAGTTCACTCTCTGAATTGAAAATTCAGTATCATAAATATGCATGTACCTGCTAGTGAAAACATTTGTGATCAAGTGTAGGCAAAATATGTACAAAAATAGAGAGGGGGGTTAGCCTTCCATGATCCTTTTATTAGCTTTTGACAGGAGCCTGGGGGTATCATTAACAAGGTTCCAATTTAGATATAATCTTTAACATATTATTTCATTTATTTTCACTGTGGTATAGAAGGCAATTATAATTTGTATCTAGTATTTTGTCATTTACCATATAAGCCCAGTGATGAGTCCATTGAGTCTTATATGATTTAATTGGTGTTTTAAATGCTATACAGTTTAAAAGATTTTGTACTATATTTGGGGGAGCTGGTTATGGTTTCTGGTTGCGCTGAGAACACACTATTTTTCTCATTTTAAAGAATGGAACAGAGGTTCTTGTTTTCCAGCAGTGTACTATATAATTGAGGAATGGACTAAAGACAAATACCAAGACATGCCTTTATCTAATTTAAGAACACAATTCCAGAGAAGGACAGACTATTCTCAATTTGTGACAAAATAAATCCTGTCTTCCCTAGTTGGGCCTAAGGAAATTAGGTCTGTGTAATGACTTACCAAGTGGGACCTGCCCAGGTTTTCCCAACTATTTATGCAATTTAGGCCATTAACCAATGTGAATGCCTCCTGTGGACCCTTGGCCATGGAAGATCATGTGGTGTGATCATGGCTCCCTGCAGCCTCAACCTCTTGAGCTCAAGCAATCCTCCCACCTCAGCCTCCCTAATAGCTGAGATTATAGGCTTGGGCCAATACACTTGGCTAATTTTTGTATTTTTTGTAGAGACGGGGTTTGCCATGTTGCTCAGGCTGGTCTTGAACTGCCAGGCTCAAGTGATTCATCCGCCTCAGCCTGAGTGTTGGGATTACAGGCATGAGCCACTGTGCCTGCCCCAGACTTCTCATGTGTTCAAGTTGTTTCTCACTCTCAGTGATCTGAGTTTCTGGGTTGTACTATATATAACTGAGAATACTGGCTTTTCAAACTCAGACTGTAACCTACAGTAAGAAATAGCATCACAACAGAGAAGCCTCATACACACACTGACACATGTATGCAATGTATATGTAAATATATAGAATTTATACATCATACATACATAAACAAAAACAGGTTGAAAATTTTTTACTTTAAGTTTAGGGGTACGTATATGTGCAGGCTTGTTACTTTAGTTTGAAACATGTCATGGGGGTTTGTTGCACAAATTATTTCATCACCCAGGTATTAAGCCTAGTACCCATTAGTTATTTTTCCTGATTATCCTCCTCCTTCCACCCTCCATCCTCTGATAGGCCCCAGCATGTGTTGTTCCCCTCTCTGTGTCCATGTGTTCTCATCATTTAGCTCTCACTTATAAGTGAAAACATGTGGTATTTAGTTTTCTGTTCCTGCATTAGTTTGCTAAGGATTAATGGCCTCCAGCTCCATCCAAGTCCCTAGAAATGACATGATCTCATTCTTTATTATGGCTTCATAGTACTCCATAGTATATATGTACCACATTTTCTTTATGAGGTCTATCACTGGTGGACATAGGTTGACTCCATGTCTTTGCTATGGTGAACAGTGCTGCAGTGAACAAACGAGTGCATGTGTCTTTACAGTACAACAATTTTTTTTTTTGAGATGGAGTTTTGCTGTTGTTACCCAGACTGGAGTGCAATGGCATGATCTCAGCTCACCGCAACCTCTGCCTTCTGGGTTCAAGCAATTCTCCTGCCTCAGCATCCTGAGTAGCTGGGACTACAGGCACGCACCACTGTGCCCAGCTAATTTTTGTATTTTTAGTAGAGACGGGGTTTCACCTTGCTGACTAGGATGGTCTTGATCTCTTGACCTCGTAATCCACCCTCCTCAGCCTCCCAAAGTGCTGGGATTATAGGCGTGAGCCACCGTGCCCGGCCTGCGGTACAATAATTTATATTCCTTTGGGTATATACCCAGTAATGAGATTGCTGGGTTGAATGGTATTTGTTTTTATTCTTTGAGAAATCCCCACAATGTCTTCTACAACAGTTGAACTAATTTACACTCGACCAACAGTGTATAAGCATTTTTTTCTCTCTACAACCTTGCCAGCATCTGATAAATTCATAGTTACTATTTGTGATACGCTGATAATTTGTATTTTACTCTACTCCATTTTCTTCTTTAAAAAAAGTTTATAACCCAATCAACTTCACGACTATGGGATTCAACCTTCAATTTGAAAAACACTGCTTTGGAGTATATTCAACAATGAAAATGAATATAAGAAAGTACTGTGTTCTATTTCTTTTGAAAGTTGAAATTCTTTTGATAAGACGATTTTATTAGGATCTTTAATGCAACATTATCTAGAGGTACTAAAAATTACTGGGACTGGCTGATAAAACTGTTGAGAGTAACCTTTATTTCACACCCCTGATCCTATGCTCCTCTTTTACATTTCTTTTTTTTTGAAACAGTGTCTTGCTCTTTTGCCCAGACTGGAGTCTAGTGGCGTGATCTCGGCTCACTCCAACCCCCTGGGTTCAAGTGATTCTCCCACCTCAGCCTCCCAAGTAATTGGGAAAACAGGCAAAAACAGGCATGTGCCACCATGCCCAGCTAACTTTTGTATTTTCAGCAGAGACAGAGTTTTGCCATGTTGGCCAGGCTCATCTCTTAACTCCTGACCTCAAGTGATCCACATGCCTGGGCTTCTCAAAGTGCTGAGGTTATAGGTGTGAGTCACTGTGCCTGGCCTCTTCTCTATTTTTGTAACCTTGTTCTTGCAATCAGTCTTCTCAGCTTAGAATCCTGACTTTTCTGTTGGGACTCCTCTACTTTCAAATATGCACCCGTCTCATCAGACAGAAAATGAAAAAAGAGAAAGAAGAAACCACCACCACCACCACCACCACCACATGCGAAAACATGTACACGCACAAAAACACACACAGATCCCATAAAATAGCCTTTTGCAATCATTCTATAACTCCTAAGTGGTTTTACTAGTCTCCTCTGTATTGCCAAGCTTGGATGAGTGATTTAAGTCATTGAGACTCTTAATATGGTTGGTCTGAATCTTGGTGGATTAAAACTCAACACTCGTGAAATACTAAGAATACCATTTCAGTCATCAAGCCATTTTTCACTGAATTCTGCAGACAGTACTAGATAAAAGGGGGGAAAAGACAATAATACTAAGAATCTAAAAGTCTAAATACTGAAAAAGCTAAGGTAATTTACAACGATTATTTCCTGATTTAAAGGTATTCTATTTAAGATGAAAAAAGGAACCGAAAAAAGATTATGCTTTCTCTTGTAGTCTAAAACTACTGGGCTGGGCGCAGGGGCTCATGCCTGTAATCCCAGCACTTTGGGAGGCCGAGGCAGGCAGATAACCTTAGGTCAGGAGTTCTAGACCAGCCTGACTAACATGGAGAAACCCTGTCTCTACTAAAAAATACAAAAAATTAGCTGGATGTGGTGGCGCATGCCTGTAATCCCAGCAACTCAGGAGGCTCAGGCAGGGGAATAGCTTGAACCCAGGAGGCGGAGGTTGCGGTGAGCCGATATTGCGCCACTGCACTCCAGCATGGGCAACAAGAGTGAAAATCCATCTCAAAATAAATAAATAAAAAATAAAACTACTGAGGTCAAAAATTAGGAATAACATTGCTAAGTCATAATAAACCCTTCCACTATAATATCATATGTAATATATATTGGAATATGTTAGCATTTATAAAATTTCAGGTATTTAATTTTTATATTAGGAAAAAAGAGCAGTGAAGCTATAATGTATGGCAGACCGTAACTATTTTCACTCCAATCTAACAAATATAACCACAAGATAAAATTCCCCACAATAAGAAGAATGTTTTGCAAAAAGAAAAGAAGAAAAGTTATTCAGAGATGCAGGAGAGAGGAAACAAAAAGCTCATTCACTTTGCTAAGTGACTCATATCAGGTTACCAGCTTCGTAATGTGTGAGAGACAGTCCTAAAAATGTCGTTGTAACTTAAAATTCTGAATAGATGGCACATTCATATGGATTTAAAAAATGCCTTTTTCTTCCTCCAGTAATGGAATTAAGCTTACATATTTAAATGTTTTATTAAAGACATATTATCAGTTACATTATATTACAACAACTCTGTAACTGTACAAATGGCACTTATTCATACTACTTATTTTCTGTACCATACAAATATTTTAGCACCTACTTATATTAACTTTTGCACTCAATCATTATTATTTTAAAGGATTTTCGAACTAGTTCTATTTGTAAGTATTGGCTTTTTATAGAACTGAAAGCTCCTTGAGAACGCCTGTGTCATCATTCATCACATACTACCTAAATACCCTCAGGTAAGAAATAAAGTTTATATTAATTTGGCCAGACATGGTGGCTCACACCTGTAATCCCAGCACTCTGGGAGGCCAAGGTGGGTGCATCACCTGAGGTCAGGAGTTCAAGATCAGCTTGGCCAACATGGCGAAACCCTATCTCTACTAGAAATATAAAAATTAGCCAAGTGTGGTGGCACACACCTGTATTCCCAGCTACTGAGGAGGCTGAGGCAGGAAAATAACTTGAACCCAGGAGGTAGAGCAGTGAGCTGAGATTGTGCCACTGCACTCCAGCATCGGTGACAGAGGGGAAAAGAAAGGTTATATTACTTCAATAAATTAAAGGCCTATATTATCTCATATCTGCATAATTTATTTATTATTATTTTTGAGACAGGGTCTTGCTTTGTCACCTAGGTGGAAGTGCAGTGGTGCTATCTCAGCTCACTGAAGCCTTAACCTCCCCAGCTCAAGCAATCCTTCCACTTCAGTCTCTGGAGTGGCTGGGACCACAGACTCGCATCACCACACCTGCCTAGTTCTATTTATTTTTTTTGTAGAGATAAGTTCTTACTATGCTGCCCAGGCTGGTCTCAAACTCCTAGACTCAAGTGATCTTCCCATCACAGCCTCCCAAAGTGTTGGGATTACAGGTGTGATTGTATTCTCCTAACATAAAAATTACATACCTGAAATCCTATGGCACCTGGCCCCATAAAATTTATTTTTAAAATAAAAAAGCCTCATCTTTCAGCATGTATTTATAGAAAGCTTACCTCTCACTGTTCTCCTCCATTGTATCTTGCATTTTAGAGGAAAGTCCTGTACATCGGTCACCTGTCAGTTTTTCTTCTTCTAGACCTATTCTGTTTCCATTGTATTTTTCAGTTGTTATTTTGTTTGGTGAATAATCAAAAGCAGGAGATAAGTCTTCCTTAGAAAGTTCTTTCCATTGTTTCTAGGTAGGGAAGAGAAATGAAAAATAAACACAAACAGTAAAAATTTATTTTCCTTATATAAAAATAACATATGAATTAAAATCCTATATTCAGGTTAAGAAAATGATGCCAATGATGCTAAAAGATGAGTGAAAAAGAAAAAAGCATATTGCTATACTGTAGCTCATAATTATGCTTAATTTAAAATTTATAATAAAGCATTTAATATTATGTACATCAGTATACAGTTGCATATAATGTTTTTTAAAATCATTTTTAAAAAATTTTATTATTATTATTATTATTTTTTTTTTTTTGAAGACAGGGTTTCACCACGTTGGTCAGGCTGGTCTTGAACTCCCGACCTCAGGTGATCTGCCCGCCTTGGCCTCTAAAGTGTTTGGATTACAGGCATGAGCCACCACGCCCGGCCCTGCATATAATAATCTTAATAAAATCTCATGAACTGTTACCTATTTGAGACAATCTAGGACTACAGTCAAATATCAGTCATAGTGATGATTTTAATATGGGTATCCAGATCCATGAAACTAACAGGACACTAAACACACTCAATGCAAAGAGGTCCTCTCTCCGAGGTACATTATAATAAAGCTGTTCAAAGTCAGACATAGATAATTCTAAAAGCAGCAAGAGAAAAGGATCAAGTCACATGTAAGGGAACCCAGCAGGTTTCTATCAACAGATTTCTCAGAAAACCTGTACACGCTAAGAAAGAAATGGCCTGTAATATATTCAAAGTGCTGAGAGATAAAAACTACTAGGAAAGCTATCTTTCAGAAATGAAAGAAAAATGAAGTCTTTCCCAGACAAGCAAAAGCTGTAAGAATTTATTACCAATAAACTAGCCTTACAAGAAATTCTTATGGGGGCTGCTTCGACTGAAAGCAAAAGTATAATTACTATCATGAAACCATGAAAATATAATCTCACTGATAGAGGTAAATTAATTACCAAATTCAGAAAACTCTATTGCTATAACTATGGAATATAATCTTTCAAATCTCCATTATGAAGGTTAAAAGTAAAAAATGGTCAATGGTAACTATAGCTAAAAGTTGTTAAGGACCACACAATATAAAAGGATATAAATTAATCAACAAAATTGTAAGTTGTGGGGGAAGGGTAAAAGTAAAAAATATTTTATGAGATCAAGGTTATTATCAGCTTAAAACACTCTATCATAACTATAAGATGCTTCACGTAAACCCATAGTAACCACAAAAAAGTAACTACAGCAGATACACAAATGAGAAAGGGAAATAAATCAAATCTTATCACTAAAAAAATCACCAAACCACAAAGGTAAACAATAAGAGAGAAAGAAAGGAATAAGGAATATGCAAAGCAAACAGAAAACAATTAACAAAATGGCAGGAGTCTTTATCTATCAATAATACCCTTGAATGTAAACAGACTAAATTCTTCAATGAAAAGATATAGTGGCTAAACGGATGAAAAAACAATAAACAAAATCCAACTCTGTGTTGCCTATACGAGACTCACTTCACCAGAAAGGACATACTAAGACTGAAAGTGAAGGGGTGAGAAATAATATTCCATGCAAATTAAAATGAAAAAAAAAAGGAAGAGAAGTAGCTGCATTTTGATAAAATAGACTTTATGTCAAAAACCATAAAAAAGAAACAAAGGTCAAAGGGGTCAATTCAGCAAGAGATTTAACGATTTTAAATGTCTATGCACCCAATATACTGGTGCACACAAATATATAAAGCAAATACTATTAGGCCTAAAGGGAGACACAGACTGCAATACAATAATAGTAGGAGAATGGTACATCCCATTTTCAGCAATGGACAGATCAGCCAGACAGAAAATCGATAAGGAAACATTGGATTTAAACTGCATTCTAGGCCAAAAGTACCTGACACACATTTACAGAATATTCCCTCCAACAGCCACAGAATACACATTCTTCTCATCAGCATATGGAACACTCTCCACGATGGACCATATGTCAGGTCACAAAACGAATCTCAAAAAATTTACAAAAGAAAAAAAATCAAAATCATGCCAAGGCAGGGGACTCCCGCCTGTAATCCAAGCACTTTGGGAGGCTGAGGCAGGAGGATCACCTGAGGACAGGAGTTTGAGACCAGCTTGCCCAACATGGTGAAACTCCGTCTCTATTAAAAATATAAAAATTAGCCAGGCATGGTGGCAGGCACCTGTAATCCCAGATACTTGGGAGGCTGAGGCAGAGAATCACTTGAACTCAGGAGGCAGAGGCTGCAATGAGTCGAGATTGCACCATTGCACTCCAGCCTGGGCAACAAGAGCAAAACTCTGTCTCCAAAAAAAAAAAAAACCCCACCAAAATAATATCAAGTATCTTTTCTGACCACAACGGAATAAAACTAGAATTTAGTAACAGCAGGAACTTTGAAAACTACACATGCTCCTGAACAACAGGGCAATTAAAAAATTAAAAAATTTCTTCAGAAAAACAAAAATGGAAACACAACATACCCAAACCTATGGATATGGCAAAAGAAGTTCTCAGAGTAAAGTTTACAGCAATAAACATCAAAAAAGTAGAAAGACTGCCAGATGCAGTGGCTCATGCCTATAATCCCAGCACTTTGGGAGGCTGAGGCAGGCAGATCACTTGAGGCCAAGAGTTCAAGACCACCCTGGCTAACATGGCCACAGGTGGTCTCTACCAAAAACACCAAAATTAGCCAGGTGTGATGGTGCACATCTGTAATTCCAGCTATTTGGGAGGCTGAGGAATAAGAATCACTTGAACCCAGGGGGCAGAGGTTACAATGAGCCAAGATTGTGCCATTGCAATCTAGCCTAGAGGTCAGAGTGAAACTCTGTCTCAAAAAGAAAAAAAGTAGAAAGATCTCAAATAACCTGATGTACCTCAAGGTACTAGAAAACAATAAACTAAACCCCAAAATAGCAGAACAAAGAAAATAATAAAGACCATAACAGAAATAAAGTGACTAAACAAAATCAACGAATCTATGGCAGACTAAGAAAAAGACTCAAATCAGAGATAAAAAAGGAAACATTACTACTAATACCACAAAAATACAACGTATCATGAGACTATTATAAACAACTATGCCAACAAATTGGAAAGCCTAGAGGAAATAGCTAAATTCCTGAACATATACAAACTATCAAAACTGAACCATGAAGAAACAGAAAACCTAAACTGACCAATAAATAATGAGATTGAATCAGTAATAAAAAGCCTCCTATTGAAGAAAAGCCCAGGACTTGATGTCTTCATGGCTGAATTCTACCAAACATTTAAATAATACTAATTCTTTTCACACTATACAAAAAATTGAAGAGAGAAATCTTCCAAAATCATTCTATAAGGCCAGCATTACCAGATACTAAAACCAGCCAAGGACACAACAAAAAAGAAAACCACAGTCCAATATCCTTGATGAACAGATGCAAAAAACCTAAATGAAAAATAATAGCAAATGGAATGCAACAATACATTAAAAACATCATTTACCATAACCAAGTGGGATTCATCCAAGGGATGAAAGGATGGTTCAACATAGGCAAATCAATAAACATGATCTATCCCATCAACAGAATCAAGGACAAGAACCATATGATCATTTCAATAGATGCAGAAAAAACATTTGATAAAATTCAACATACCGGCCAGGCATGGTGGCTCACACCTGTAATCTCAGCACTTTGGGAGGCCAAAGTGGGTGAATCACTTGAGGTTAGGTGTTTGAGACCAGTCTGGTCAACATGGTGAAACCCCATCTCTACTAAAAATACAAAAATTAGCTGGGTGAGGTGGCACACACCTGCAATCCCAGCCACTTGGGTGACTGAGTCACGAGAATCGCTTGAACCCAGGAGGTGGAGGTTGCAGTGAGTTGAGATTGTGCCACTGAACTCCAGCCTGGGTGACAGCAAGACTCTGTCTCAATCAACCAATCAACCAACCAACCAGCCTATCTACCTTCATGAGAAAAACTCTCAACAAATTAGGTATGGAAGAAATTGTGCCTCTACAAAGCCACGTATGACAAACCCATAGTTAACACCATACTGAACATGAAAAAGTTGAAAGCTTTTCCTCTTAAGATCTGGAACAAGACAAGGATGACCACTTTCAATACTATTATTCAGCCCAATACTTTAAGTCCTAGCCAGAGCAATTAGGCAAGAGAAAGAGAAAGGGTATTCAAATTTGAAAGGAGGAAATCAAATTGTCTCTGTTTACAGAAGACATAATCTTATATATAGCAAAACCCTACAGACACTACCAAAAAACTATTAAACTAATAAACAAATTCAGTAAAGTTGCAGGATACAAAATCAACAAATAAAAATCAGTAGCATTTTTATACAACACTCGCAAACTATCTGAAAAAAAAAAAAAATCAAGAAAGCAATTCCATTTAAAAAAACTGCCTAGGAATAAATTTAACCAAGGAGGTGAAACATCTCTATAATGGAAATTATAAGCCAGGCATGGTGGCTCACGCCTGTAATCCCAACACTTTGGGAGGCCGAGGTGGGTGGATCACGAGGTCAAGAGATCGAGACCATCCTGGTCAACATGGTGAAACCCCATCTCTACTAAATATACAAAAATTAGCTGGGCATGGTGGTGTGCACCTGTAGTCCCAGCTACTCGGGAGGCTGAGGCAGGAGAATTGCCTGAACCCAGGAGGTGGAGGTTGCGGTGAGCCAAGATCGCGCCATTGCACTCCGGCCTGGGTAACAAGAGTGAAACTCCGTCTCAAAAAAGAAAAGAAAATTATGAAATATTAATGGAAAAAATTGAAGAGGATATAAATAAATGGAAAGATAGCCTATGTTCATGGATTAAAATTAATACTGTTAAAATGTCCATACTACATAAAATGATCTATACATTCAATGCAATCCAATGAAAATAGCAATGACCTTCTTCATAGAAACAGAAGAAATAATCCCAAAATTTGTATGGAATCATAAAAGACTCCATAAGCCAAAGCAGTTT